ACAATTCACGATTTACTGTTTCGCGACTTTTTTCTCTGCCGACGCGTCGGGGATCCGTTCTCTCCTGCCGGTTTTCTCCCTCCCTCCACCTCCCGCTCTCCCGTCCCTCTTGCGCGTTCGCGCTCTTTCTCGCTCTCGAGTCACCGGATACGAGGCAGAAGAAACAAAGAGGTAAAGCGGCGGGAGGAGAGAGGAAGAGAGAGAGAGAAAGAGGATGGGGATGGCAGGGCAGAACGATCCGGGAGGTAAAGCCGTTATTGCCAAAAAGGATAATGCGAGGGAAGATTAAATTTTTTTCGACCCGCCCTTTCGAGCTCCACCGACCGCGTGATCACGCTTTGCTGCTTCTCGTGTTGTACACTGTGTACACTTTTCGGGGGATGTTCTCGCTCTCTTGCCCTCTCTTTCTTTCTCGTCGTCACCCTTTCCGAGCGTCGCGCTTTTTCTAGCCGATCGAGCGATCATTTCGTGAAATAAGTCGATACTGCGTAAATCGTCATGTTTTAACGCTTCTCCTGTTTTACAATTCCTGACACAATTCTAATATCTCTGGATCTTTTCTCATATCGTTACATCATATATAATACTTAAAAAAGAATGTGTTTGTAAGTTTTAATAAATAAATTCTTGAGCAGTTTTTAAAATGTTCAATTTAAATTCAAACTTAATCTTACTTATAACTAAAATATCGAAAATTATTTATTGTAAAAATAACATTCATTATCATGATTGCTAGATTTAATTGCTACTTAATGATATTCTCCGTAGGAAAAATAACAAATCGCAGATCCGATGCGACGTGAATGATCGCACAATTAAACGTTATGATTAGGGCACGATTAAACGAGAGATGTATGTGCGTGGACCTCGCGCACGACAGGTGAAATATAATTTATACTTATACTAAATACCGTGTATATATGGTCATCGTGAATCCCTATCGAATCCGGGTCTCTTGGAGGTATAAATAATTGTTGTCTCTGGTTTTCGCCGCCGGAGGCGAGCGACTCATAACTCAGGACGCTCCCTGTTGATTCCCTAATTTCCGACGAAACGCATAAGGTCGATTGCTATTTAGGAAAGGCTTAGAGCGCTATTTCATTATATATTATATTCGTTAATATGCGTCCAATAAAATATCAAAAATTATAGAATGAAATACCAAATTTTTTATACGATGACTTTTCGAGCGGTGGGAGCAGTGGAGACGGAGGAACGAATCGTTCTCGGCACATATGTTTGTCTATGCGTCGTGTGATAAAGAATGGGATATTATTAGAATAAATTCGACCATGATATTCGATGAATCTCCATATGATAATTTCATCTCGATGTATTTATAAATAAGCTTTAGACTTTCGGGAAGAATATTTTCTTCTCGGAAGAAGATACTGGGCTTTGCTATCGAGAGATTAATTTTTAAGTAAAAAATTGTAATAAAATCGGGATCGATTCTCATTCTAGCTTGAAAATTTCGCTCATTGATCGCGTTATTAGAATTAGATCTAGATAAAGAGCATAAAATGTCATTTGAACACAAATTTCGAATGAATACAGGCATTATTCGTGCGCGTTTTTTCCTCTAAAACATTTCATCATTTCTTTCATGATTTTCAACTTGCTCGCGTATCTGGAATAAATCAATCCTAAAACTTTCACGCTAATACTGATTTACTATTTATATAAATGAAAACATCGCTTTCTCTTTTCCTACATTTCTCTCTGTCTCTTTTAAAAGAGCGACGTATTTCATCCATTTACTGCAATCTTCATAATTACATTTTATTTCATTTTATCCGCTTCTATAATTATTCCATCTCTTTCTCATTCTCTCTCTCGTCGTATAAGAAAAATTCCATGTCGGCGGTGCTTGGCAGCACTCTCGCGGCTTGGCATTCCGCGATCCCGGGTCCGCCATTGGCTTCGCCCGCATCAATTAGGTATTTTAATCGGAAAGGCACCGCGGAATAGTTGCGATACTACAACGTCGCGCATTAACGATACGCGCGCAGGCAGGCATGCCCAGAGAATTGGAACGTGGTTGCGTTAACATAATGGAATTCCGTGGAATGTTATAACCATTATATACATATAGCGGATTACGTCACGACGCGGCGGGGACGCCAAAGCGGGCGCGCGCCCTACGAGAGAGAGAGAAAGGGAGAAAAAAAGAGAGAAAAATAACGCCGCTTGCCAAAGAGTCGATCGCTCACCTTAATTTTCTACATTGTACTCTCAGACGCGTGCGAAGCCGGTCTGAGCCGGTCTCGCTTCGCGATTTTCCGCGCGTAAACGCTCGTGAAACAGTTTCCTGCGCGCGGACACGAAGCAGTGGTTTCTCTCCCGATATCTAATTTTTCATCCGATTCTAGATATGAAATCTCGCCATACTTGTGAAAATTTACCATCTCTTCGCCGAAGATGCTCCCTTCGGATAAGGGTGTAGGAGTTGAGCCAACAATCCGCGTAATCCAACACTTTGAAATACCGATTATTACAGCATCAGCTAAGATGATAATTAAACTTATTTATGTCTCGTTTAGCTTTGAAACTCGATATTCAATGTATAATTTTCATATTACGTATAACTGTTACGTTATATTAAAATTGTATTAATTTTATTCTACTTATCAGATTCCGTTACGCAATATAAAAATATAGTTGTAAATTATAATATGTAAATATATTATATATCTACACGTGTCTCTAGATTAAACGAATGAATAATACATCGAGCGTTTATCTCTCTTATTTCTGATTATATTGCAGTCCTAAATCATAGTTTTTGTGAGCAAAACATGCGATCATTTGAAATTGAATCAGAGCACTCTGAAGTCCATATATCAATCTTATCATTAATACAAACAAAAATGGCATAATTACTCGATACCGCGAGAAAAAAGAAAAAAACGTTTCGTTAAACGGAGTCGATTGTCCGGCCTAAGTCGGCGCGACCAGTCCCCACCGTCCGACGGTCGTCGTGCTAGTTACAAAACGGCTTGTAACTAGCCGCACGCTTAATAACTTGTGCCGGTAGCGAACGATAAATAATGCAGGAGACACCGTCGTCCCGATGTAATTAACGAGAGCAGTCGATACCCCAGGCTTGTGTGTGTAACCGGCGTGCGCGTGTATCGACGCTCGTGCGTGCACAACGGCCGTCGTGCGTACGCTCGAGTGTGCTTGTGTCACGTACGTGCGCGCGAACGCGAACGAGCGCGGTCAATATTTGTCATCCGCTTTAACAAAAAGAACGTTACAAAACGCTCGGCCGGATGCACCCCGGCCAAATATTGACTGCGCTCATTGACGTTCATTGATACTCTCAATTAGCGCATACCGTCGAAGCCAATCGCCGGGTAATTGGGATGGCCCTCCACCACCCTCCGCGGGAAAAGCGCGCGGGCCTCTCTTTCCCATCCCTTCCGTCCCTCCTGCCGTTTTCTCGTCCCCGCTCTCGATCATCGCGGCCGTCAGACGCGAACGATTTCGGCGCGAAAACTATAATTGGCGGCGGCCGCCAATCGACTCGAGTCGAGTCCGTCCCGTCCACGACTTTTCGTGAAAGAGCGGCCAATTATACGGGAACCGCCGCTAAATACGGGACGCCGTTGCCTTCCTCGAGGATCGCTCGTTTGCTTTGGCGAGGACGAAACGCGCGTCCTAATGACGTGAGACGCGCGCCAAATTCGCGTCACCGCGTTTTCTCGTTAGCGATCGTCGACCGGCCGACCGTTGGCTATTTCGACCGGGAAAACGTCTTCGCTCGTTACCGGCAAAATTGCACGATTTCGAGTTAACCGCCCCGGAGGGTGAAACTTTTCCGTCGAGAAGGGAAGTTTGCCGCCGCGGGAGAAAACCAGCGCCAGCGTTTCTTATTTCGATTCACGGCGGCACGTTTTGATATCGGCGGAGGAAACTTTTAATTGACTCTCTCTCTCGTTGTCGAATTATTTCTAAATGTTGACCAAATATATTGCAATATATTTCTCTCCTCGTTTATATTTGTTTATCCGATATCGGAATAAATTTAAAATACGTACGCGCGCGCAAACTTTTTTAATGCCGATACAGAAAAATTTATTTGCTCGTTTATTTAACGTTTTAACGGTAAGATTAGATTTGTAATTCATAGCCTGCTAACGTACCGTTATTTAAATTAGAAAATGCATTTTATAAATTTTCAACTTACACATGCGTAAATATTATAAAAGTAAATATTATAAAGTTTTTTCCGCAAAACTAATTGATTATTTTAAGATTATATTTCTCGAATCGTACAAGTCCAACGTTACTTTTGACGGAAATGCTTTACTTATCTTATCATTATTAATAGCGAGTGCAATTTTAATTTTTTTTATCACCTTTCGGTACTTAATTTCTGCTAATTTATCTTTAGCAAAGAGAGAAACAATATTCTTCCAGTATAAAAACAGGAAAACTATATATACAGCACATCGGAATATATATCTGAGTGGTTTGGCGTTATCATGAACATAAAAATCTCCTAATTACAACATTCCATGTAATTACGGACTTCTTGTTATACAATTTGCATCGAAAATTACATATCAGCACCGACACGTACAAAGACAAATGTTCCTCCAGGGAAAAAGATTAATCGCATAAAATAGTATCAGTATGCTTGTAAAGAATCATTCATTCGGCAATGATTCTCAGAGATATCTTATAACAGTATGATCTAATGGCTAACATAATAAGTGAAAAAACTCGTTATATTACGTTTACGATCGAAAAAAATCACGATGCATTTAAATTTTTTAACATATGATATACATTCAACATCTTCGCGAATCGTGAAAAAGCACTTACATTAATGACAATAACATTTCGCTCTGCGTGCCAGCACTAATAATTATTTTCCATGCTTAATTAACATATTTAGAAAATTTGGCGAAAAAGTTTTCTTCCTTGCATTATTAAAATCTAGTATGCTGATCATTTGAAGTCGTAAATTTGTTTTCGAACTTTGGACTTACCCTTTCCTCCTCCCGAATCATCTCCGCGATGCCGGGCTTGATCTCAAGATCGTCACCGACAGTCTGACTGGCGGCGCCCTGTTGATGATGCTGCTGCTGTTGCTGCTGTTGCTGCTGCTGTTGCTGCTGCTGCTGCTGCACGCTGAGCGGTTGACCGTGGGCGCCCAGGTGGTTGACGGGCGCGTGCGGACCGGAAGTCACGTGGCCGGGCACGTGGTGGGTCGACAGGGGGTGCGAACTCTGCTGTCCCTGCGGCGGTGGCGGCGGGGGTGGTGGTAAGGGCAGCGAGACAGGAAGCTCCTGCAGATTGATCTGCGGCGTGACGGAGATGCTAGGCATACTAGGCGTGCTAGGCGAGCCCAAGGACCTAGGTGTCGAGCTGGCGGTCGGTGGTATCATGTTGTGGATATCGGGCACGACAATGTTGCCGGCCATCACTTCTTGATCGTCGGCAATGCTACCGGAACCGTGTTCCGGACTGTGATGCGTGCTGGACGGCGAACGTTCGCCGGACATCCGGCGGCGTTTTTTCCGCTGCAACGCCGCGGTCGCGACCTCTTCCAGAGTCGGTCTGGACGTTAGTTCCTGTTCGCTGTTAACGTCCGCGAGGCCGCGAATTTTGAGACTCTCCGCGACCTTGAGCAGCGGCCCGATCTGCTCTTGGGAGACGTTGATCTCGCCCTTGTACATGAATTCGACCGCAGCCTTGAGTTCCGGCCATTTGATGTCCTTCATGATGACGATCGGGTGTTGGCAGGGGTTATCGAAGAAGAGCGCTTGAAAATACGGACTGCAGGCCGACAAGACCATCTTGTGGGCCTTGACGCTGTGCCCGTCGCAGGCTAAGGTCACGTCCACGAAGCTTTCGCTCTGTAAGAGTTGATCGAAGACGTTTGTTAGATTAGTCTGATAGTTATTCCAGCGCAAACAAAATTGCTGGGGTGACCCAGCACCGCTTTGCTGCGTCATGATCGAGCGCGATGTGGCTTCTACTTGTCTCGTTCCGCAGAGAGAGTATCTCTTCCTCCTTCCTCTCCTTCTCTATTGCACCGCACGCTTCCTCTTACGCTTTCTCTTCAACCTGTTCCTCTCCTTCTCTTTGTTTATCTCTTTCCGATCTCCTCGTGGTGCGTCTCGCCCCGGATTCTTGTCGTCGATGACGTTTGGCCTGATCGGATCAGTAACAAGGCCGCATCTGCAACACACACATGCACAGCCACACGTAAGCTTCCAGATGTCCGCGCGAAGGGACGCGGGGAGTGAGTAGCTTTATCCGCGCGCCTCGTGGCAACGTGCGCGGATCTGTCAGACGCGAACCGACGCGGGCGTCATCGTCCCGTTGGGACGTCGCGGTCGAGCATTTTTTAGCCTAGCTCCGAAACGTGGCCCCGAATACCGTACTCGAGTACTCTCTACTCCACTCCCGCTCGAAGAATTAGAGTCCACCTTGTCTCCCCCAACGAAGCATTATACGCGATGGAAGTTCCCCGAGGGATCAAGACAGGGCTCGCTTCCCTGCTGCGATGCACCACGCGACACACTTTATTCTCTTTTTAGTTTCTCCCTTTAGTTTCTATCTCATCACCAATCTCAGTCTCGCAAGGTCTATCGCTTTTTGTCCGAGAGAAAAGTCAGATTTCACCATCAACCACCCACCACCAATTATCTCAAAACGCGATTACGACCGCAACAACGACGACGACGTTGCGGCTTCTCCGACGGAATCCCACGTTACGAGTACAACGACGAATCGCGACGAGCACCGTGCGACGTACGGCGCGCGGGTGTCCGCGTGAGAGGCGCGTGTTGCGCGCGACGAAGGGTGCCGGAACGACAAGCGACGTACGATCTACACCCCGTGACGAGCGCGTCGCGACTGAGAGGACCAACAGCGCGGCAGCGGTTCGCTCGAGCGGCAGTGGTGGCACCATGCGCGGCTCGGCGCGGCGCGGCGCGGCGCGGCAGCGGCAGCGGCAGCGACGACGGCGACGGCGACGGTGGCGGCGGCGGCGGCGGCGGTGGCGGCAGCGGCGGCGGCGGCGGCAACGGCGGTGGCGGCGGCAGCGGTACGGCCGATATCGCGCGCGCTCGCGTGAGGACGCGGTGCGGCGCGACGGCGGCTACAGCGGCAGCGGCAGGAGAGAGAGACGCGTATCGCGGCAAGGAGATGGCAATGCGCGCCGCGCGGGTGGAGGCGCCCGCCGCCGTACCTCACGCGTCCTCACGTTCCCCTCGCACCGCGGCAATGCCGGCCAATAGCGCGGCTCGCCTTCCGATCAAACGCGCCGCCCCCGGAGACCGCCTCATACCTCCTCTCTCACTCTCGCTGACTTCCGCGAGGCCGCGCGTCTCGCTTTGTCTGCTGTCCGAGAAGGAGAGAATTCTCTCTCGCGCGGCATCGGCCCCGGCGAGGCCCACCGATCGGCCTCCCGAAACGGCGATCCGCTGATGATGATGAGAGGAGGCCGCGCTTTGCTGATGGCGGAGGTGGTGGTGGTGGTTATTCTGTCGTTACTAGTATCACTGAGCGGTGGTGGAGAGCACGGCGGGGCAGCGACGGCCACGGCGACGGTGACGACGACGACGACGGCGACGGCCACGACACGACGATGACGACGACGACGACGACGATGATGATGACGATGACGGGGACGCTGCTCTCTGTTTCTGCAGGTATCGCGTACGAATCGATGTATTCTAGGAAAGAATCGCGCGATTTGTCCCTGCGAAAGTAGGTTGCATCTACTTCGCGTGAACGATGAGATTTAAACGAGTGGGTAACGTGAAAACAATTTTTGAGAGAGCGCTCGATGAAGACAATTTCAGATATTTACGACGTCTATATGAATCGGGAGACTTTCTCGAAGTAAATAATTGTCGAGATGCGTTTGCTGAAAATGTCTGCTTTATTTAGCATTAGAGAAAAGAAGGATGTGCGTATTTCACATTGAAATTGAAGTAGGAAGGAACAATTTCGAGGAAAGAGACGGAATCTGATTCAATTTGATTTCTTCATCAAGATGCATCAGCGCGATTTAATTTACGAGCGCTAAAAAAAATTATCAAGATTTGTTCTTTTACAGCAGTTGTAAGTGAGTTCAACGAACGCTGGCGGCGGCAGCGACGTCAAGAGACTTGTATAAACGCGGACGGCGTTTTTGAATTTGCAAGAAAGCTCTCGAGTCTCGCGCATTAAGTATAAGAATCTTATTGCACCTGCGCACAATAACGATTGTTGTGATAGCGACGAGATGAACGACTAGAAACGTGCGGCATTCTAACCGTATCTTCTAAATGAGTCTTGTGCACCGCATTACACAGCTCGATTACTCGCTGCATTCTTCTTGGAAAGTTACGGCGGTAATAAATTAACGCCGTAAGTTGATGAATGAATGATATTTTACACCGTGAATCTAGAACATACTCCTCAAAAGCCAGAAAATTTATGATCTCTAGTTGTAAATACATATGTCTACGACGATTTTGAAATCATTAAAGATAGAAATTATAATTTGGCAAAAAAATAATATATAACTAAATAAGGCAAAAAGATGGAGATAGAACAGATAATTTTTTACTTAGGTACTTGAGTAATGGATATCTGGTATCAAAATAATTCAAGAGGAAAAGTATGTTTTCTGTCTGTAAACTAAAACTACTTTGAAGCAAGAAAGAATAGCGAACGTCTTTTCGATGTAGAAAGTTTGGGATAGCTCCAGAATAGACGATCATAGCTACAGAGATAGATGACTGTAATAGAAGCTGCGCGCTAAAATATTTGCTAAAGTAATCTTCTTAAGCAAGAATAATAGCAATCTTAATCGACTCTCTATCACATGTTTTTTCTATTTATTCAAATATATCGCTCTAATACTAGTTCTGGTTTTAAAATTAAATCGCAATAGGCGGCTTTTTCCATCATTTATCCTGGCATTGCTCTGTTCGCCCGAGAATAGTTCAGGGTATTGTTGATCGCAACAACGGCAATCTTCCGAGCCGCACCCCAAAAGAATCTACCCTTTCTTTTCCCGTGGCGGCACGTGGCGGGGTAATTGGGGATGCAAAGAGCAGACGATTATTCAGCGTCGACGCGGTTTCACCGTCTGCTGTCTCCCGGGGACCGACAAGACGATATTGACGATCGAATTTAGGCAGTCGTGCCTCGATAACGGAGTTATGAACGCAACGTCGACGATGCCGGCCGGGAAAGATGGCGGTCTTAATTGAATTAAGGCTACAAAGAGAAATGGTCCCGCGTCTGACCCTTGCGAACCGCCGGCCGGACTCCCCTAACTGGCTATTAGCTCAAATTTTGGTAATAGCTGGCGTCACGTGGGGTGGTCGACCGGTCGTCTAAGAATTTATCCCTAACGATTGCGTCGGAGACATCCACGAGATTTCTCACTAAAAACTTGTAATTTCTTCAAGATTAAAAATGTACCTAGAAGCGTAGAAACGACAATGCAGATAGTTTGATGATATAATTCGATTTAATTACTTAATTAGATGGAAATCAGTGAGATAGCGTTTGATATTTCAAAAATTTACAGCAGAAAAGTAGCGTCCAGCAAAAATTTTACTAATACACGAGTTAATAATGATGTCATTAATAGTGCTAAAACTAACAACGCGCAAAAACAAATTGGTCTCGCTAGAAAGATATATCTTCGTAACTCGTTCTTTCCTCGATATGCAGATTTATCGGCGTACTGCGGATTCATCGTAAAGAATGTAGAGTGGCCTCTAACACGATTTCGGTCCCCGCTCGAAATCGACTTCCCCAATACTCTGGCTTCCATCCCCGCGTTCCCCTCGCCGTACGTAAAGCCGTATGCGCGATATTAGAAACATAAAAAACGGAGGTAATGGTGGCGATGCCGAACGGCGAATGAGTCGGATATATGCGGACGAATAACGACGCCCGCGGGCTTTCTGATGAAGGAATATCGTCCGTCCTTTACGGACCGCGGAACGCATAAACGCGACGCGGCCAGCCGCATGCGTTATTTTTCCGCACGTCAAGCCGCGATCTATTTCCTTTCGACATACGAGTGTTATTACATCGCGCTCCTGCTGAAATGTCAATCGTTTTGTGATTTTATATTTCTTGCATTATTATTCGCATCTGCAATTATGTATACAGATAGATTAGAATTATCAAGTTTAAAAAAATACTATAAATGATTTAGAATTGTAGTAAGTGCATTTAACTTATTCGTCCCAAAAATAACTTTTATAATCGGAAATGAAAAGAACAATATTTGATCATGGAAATGTACAATAGAAGCGTAAAGTATATAATTTATTTATTAGTATATGAAGATTCAGTCACAATTTATTGCATATAAGATCTTAAAGAGTGCTCGTCGTGAAAGAGAAACATTGTTATATTATCGAATTCTCTATATTAGAGTTTTCTTGCGCAAACACACAGCAACTAGTTGACTGCAAGAACAGTAGAGAATGACGCTATATTCTTTGCAACAAAAATGCAACAAACATACATATTCGCTGTAAAAGCGCAAATATGTATGATTTACATTTACCGTCGCAACAACTTTAGTTGCTGTTACTCGAATAGCAAATATGTAATATCAAACTTGATGTTATCATAACATGGTTTATATCGGCATAATATTTACAAAATATCGATATTGCATGCCATGTACAATCTTTTTTTTTTATAATTTTGCAGATTTTTCTGTTTAGCCTCGCGGAGAAAAAAGAAAAAGCGTTCTTCCGTATTCTGAACAATTAACACAGCGGCGATTCTACGAATTTCCTTCATGAATCGAAATCTATTCTTGGTATTTTAAAAACAGAAAAAAACATTTAGAACACAGTATCCGCTAAGCCGTGGATCATCACGGGAAACGGGGGTGGCATTGGTCATAACGCCCGTATTTCTCATATCGTTGATACTTTCACCCTTGCGTAGGACGAGCGAGCGCATTGTAAGGGCGCGCGAAACCAAGCCGGTAGGCTATAAATTTTACTACGTAATATTGTTTAACTGCAAACAGTATACTAACGCCATCCGTTGTGACGCTGACGCGGAAAAATTTCGACTCTATCGAAGAATCGCGACAAGGAAATTTGTAAAAAAATTTGAATTTTCTCGGAAACAATTGCGACGATCGCGATCTCGCTGCAACGTTGACAATCTCGAGGCTAAGATTTCTCGGTCGCGATCTC